GAACAGGACGGGACAGGAGCAGAAGGAGGTTCTTAAAAAGACAGAGGCCAAATTTCAAGGCGTTTAGAAGAGGAAGTGATGAGAAGATGTTTATTTTCTATTTAAACATAGAAACAGCATTTTAATAACAACTAAAGGTAACATAGATATTTTATTATAGTATAGTATTTAAATATATGCCTGAGAAACACATAATATTGGCCCTTTAATGAAACCCTTATACTTTGTGACTGATAAAAAGTTAAAGTTTAGTGAATGATGTCATTCTGATGCACGTTTCCAGGGAATAGAAGTGTTAGTTTTAATATCTTCGTTTTATTTAAAAAGTCAAACAGCAGCTGTCATTGTCATCATAGCAGCTGGTTGTCAAAAGGAAAAAAAAGGCCAAATGTGAAAACCACAAAGGAAAATCCCAGGCGTTTGAAAAATATGTAATATATATTTGTCATCTGACTGTGCACTTGTCAGTTTCCTTTACCAATCCCAGATAAGAGATGTTTAAAGTGCAGACAAAAGCCCTGACTTGGTTATCTGAACCTGCACGTGAGGAGCAGTGGAATGCCACTTCCTGCCCCACAAGTGTCCCAGATTTCTCAGGACTTTCTGACCTGATTTCCTGCAGCCAGAACTTCATGCCCACATTGGACATCTGGACTTGCTGAACTACTTTAGTGCTGTTGGGCCGGATACAGACTGTGTTTGTGTAATAAAACATTACTGAGGAAAGTTGTTGTTTTAGAGCAGGGGTGTCAAACTCCTGTCCTCGAGGGCCGCTATCCTGCATGTTTTAGAGGTTTTCTTGCTCCAACACACCTGATTTTGATCGCTGGGTGATTAACAGGCTTCTGCCCAATTTGAAGAGTTAATTCAGTCACTGAATCAGGTGTGTTGGAGCTGGAAAACCTCTAAAACATGCAGGATAGTGGCCCTCGAGGACTGGAGTTTGACACCCCTGTTTTAGAGTTTTGTGTCATATCCTATGATCACAGGGCTGAGACTTTCTGCAGCTTTAATCAGCATCTCAGCATTTTTTAATCTCATGGGGCTTTTTTTTATTTGAGCCATGCTAATGTTTTATTTTGCTCTTTTATTAAAGCATTCAAATACATCAAGGTGGCAAAATATCTCAGCAGCTTTCAAATTAAAGTGGGACTTATAGATCTAAAGTTTGAAAAAGAAAACATATGTATTATACTTTTTATTATACTTAAGTAGAACTATTTTAAAATAATTTAGCTAATGATGATCCTTCTAAATGAACTCATTTTTTCACTTGATACAGTTTCAAGATTCATAATCCTTCTAAAACAAACTGCTTTGCTTCCACTCTAACTTAATTTTCACTGCGATGTACCGAGGCTAAAATCAGGCCACGGCTCGCAAACTGTCAGACAACCACACCTAATCTGTCATCAGCTGGTCTTCTCCAGCATCACCAAGTGCTTGCATATATTCAAGAAGACAGTTGGAGAGCGAGAGAGGTGTAGCGCTGCCTCTAACCCGTTGTGAGTGAGCGTAATCACTGTTGACACACAGTTCTTGTCTTATAACAACCACTCATTCACAGCCGCCAACATATTTAGACCAACTCCATTATGAATCCATATGACTACAGCGAGGAGGCAGGGATGATGCAGAAACAGAGCGGTGCTGGAAAAAAGTTTACAATTTATTAAGGGACGCTTCAAACTGGATTTTATTGCCAAACTGTGTCACAATGAGCTCTTTGGATGTATTTACCAAAGGTCATGTTACCCTGTCAGTAATGGCAACTTATTAGATTAGGATTTTATTTTTATTGCATTTTGCTAAAAAGCAATATTTTTGCATGTTTATTACCAAAATATATCATAAATGACATGATTTGTAGTTAAACCTGCAGGAAGTAATCACTTGAAGACATCTACAACTGATTAACTTTTGGAGCCGACTCCTATCAAGATGGCCGTCGCAGCTAATCAAGTTTAACAAACAGAATTAGCTACAATTGTCCCTTTTAGAGACATTGAGCTAAGATTAGATGGGGTAGTAGCTGAAAGTTATTCACTAATCATATTCTAAGCATAACATCTTATATTTTGTTACATTTTGCGTAATATTTACAAAGTTTGACCAAAACAGCTGCAGCTTTACTGCTCAATGATCTTGGCCTAAATCTAAATTTGGCAGTTAGCTGATGAAAACACGTAAACATATGGAAAATGTGAGAATGTGTTAGATGAAATTATCTTCTTGTAGCATTTATTTTACTCTCACTGTTTTAGCTTTTAAAAATAGAAAATGCAACACAAAATCGATGCACGTTTTACTGCCACATAAAAGACAATGAGAACAAATGAATGACGAACAGAATTATCTGCAGACTTTTAAGTTGGGTTTCCTTAAACAATAAAAATAAATTGGAGGTCATAAATTATCATAGATGGAAGCCCCCAGATTAATTACCTACTAATTACGACAATCCACTTAAGTCCCACACTGACATTGTCGCTGTTACCAAAACACAACAGCACAATTATATTTCATATCCAGGAATCATCTAATAAATGGAAACAGAACTACTCTGTGGGTTATAACTGGAGGGTGCCTCATGTAGAAAAAACCCCCCCATCAAGCTAAAAATATGTCTACGTACTCACTGACCCCCATCCGTTCATTGTGAAACAAAAGGTTCACACAGATGAGGAATCTCTTGGAGAATTCCAACAGGCGCTGCTCTTAGTTCACGGCGCGAGCACAGCTGTGCTGCTCTTCACCTTCCCAAACTCAGACAGATCCATCAAACGCTCATGAGAGCAGCTTTGTGCTGGCGTGTGCATCAGACAAGCTGAATCTGGCTGCAGTTCATCACCTTCATTCTGAGTCMGTTAAAACGGTGTCTAATGCAGAGCGATGCTGCTGGGCTGTAATGATTCACTGATTCGATTTGAAGCAGCAGATTTCATGATGTCAAAGATGTAGTTACTTTAAACAGCCTGGACAGACGATACGAGATCTCGCTGCTGAAAAGAGAATGTGACGCACTGAAGGCTCACCTTATGTACTCCCTAACCATAATATCTATGGTTGCTTTACCCTGGACTCTTACATCTGCTAACTTTTTGTTTTGATATTCCAGGATTTCCTGTTAAATAAGAAACAAGACACTTTTTTTCAGTTTCTTACCTTTCCCATCTGTGAAGTTGCGTATGCTGAGGATGTTATTGGCATCTGGGTAATGGTTCTGTTTAATGTAGGGAGTTTTCTCTGGGGTGTCCTGCAGCTGCATGGTCACTTCCTCCAGCTCCTTGTCCAACTTTGAAGAAAGAAAAAAAAATTGAGAACCCCTGCAAACATGTTCTGACATTTTGAAGAGTCCTTTACAAATCCCTTCACCAACATGACTCCAACAATCCCTCCCAGTAAGATACTACTCTTAGCTTTTTCATGTATAAAGCATTACATCTCTGTCACTTTGTAGCTTTGAGGCATAACAGCTGTAGGTTGACTTCAACCTTCGATGTCACCCCAGGTCTTGTTGGTCCCTACATCTTAACCTGGCTTCTCTATGTTTATTGATTTCTTCTTGTTGTGGTGGAGTCTGGCCCCTAATCAGCCTAGCTATTTGTACCGCCCTCAAACCTTCACTCAGCACCAGCCCATAAACACTACTAAAGCCAGTGCAGACCATTATTCACGCAAACCGTCCCTGATCTAATTCCGTTTCTCGGTGCCTCAGATTTCACAGACCCGTCTGCCTGCCACCACTCGTCTGAGCGCTTTGACTCTCCGGTCCATTCTCTGGTCTCTCTGCTCCCGCTCCCACACTAAATTACCCGGTTTGTCAATAAACTCTGAGATCTGATCTGTCTGCCTCCAAGTCTGCATTTGGCTTCCATACACCGAATCTATGACAAAGACTGCTGCCGGGAAAGCCATCATAAGTTTCTAGTGTCCTCTAAAAGTGTCTCATTTGCCACAATCAAACAAAGGGAAGCAGCAGAAATTCACCCCTCAGACATTTAACAAAGAGCCGAGGTGACTGCTGGGGGGACAACTTTTTTTTCTTTCCTTGTCTCCAAATGTCACTCAGGGTAACGGAACATTTATACTGACATTTTATAAAATACATCAATAAGAGTGCACAGCATAGAATATCAGCCTCTTAAAGAGTCCAAATCTGCTTTTAACAATTACCTTACTGAGATGCAACAAAATGACAGAAAATCACTGATGAAAATTTGAAAATTGACTGACTGCAAGAGAGCTATTACTTTTACTGTTTAATAGCGATAACGGCTTTGCTCTTTCTTCTTTCTTTTTTTAAAACTTGTGATTAATTGTTGTCTTTTATTAAATCACCTTTATCATGTCTTTTGTCCATTACAGCAATAAAAAGCTTTTACTGACAGCCGCTGTCCTGACACGTGTGACATTTTCTGAAGAAGGCTCTGACCTCAGTTATCCTCATGCGAAGGCGGTGGTTGTCAGTTTGAAGACCATCCAGTCTGGAAGTGTTGGCCTGGTTGACGCTGGTGACTGAGGTGGAGGTCTTGGAGTCTTCCTTCTTCTGATTTTGCGTGAACTTTAACCTTCGGTTCTGGGTGGCTGCGTCTGGGTTTGTTCTCATGGTGATTAGCTGCAAGGAGGGTTTTATGAACTTTCTGGTGATATTTAAGGGCTCAGCACACACAGCATTAGTTTATCCAAATACTGACCTTGGGAACAAAGACCAGACAGAGGGTGATGGTGCTACAAAAGATGATCACCAGAGCTACAATGCAGAACTGGACATTGGGCTGATCTCTGGTTAAAAAAGACACTGCAGCACCAATAATGCACATGATGCCAACATTGTACACACTCATCCCGATGTATTTGCTGTCGTTGAGAGCAGGAATGCTCACGTTCCTGGTCTCCCAGGCCAGGAAACAACCAAACAACTGTCAGGAACAAGAGAAAATAGAAACCAAGTTTAACAGTCATGTTAAAGGAGCATTTGTCGAAGCCTGAAAATGCTTAAGAGAAAAACAAAATAAACTTAAAAGGACATGTTTAAAACATAGTTATGTGCTTGTATATTCTTGTGAGAGTGAGCTGTTTGTGAAACAGAGCTGCAATAACAGCCAGATGGATAATTTACCAAGTGTGGTTTAAAAAGGCCTGCCTACTTAAAAGTGTAAATGAAAAGCAGATGGATTTAAAAGTTATTCCTTATAACTTGTGCCGATCAGGTTTGTAAGCATGAAAAATCATCCAGTTTGTCTTTTTTGGTCTTGTATTGTTATTGTAAAACCGCAGATTTACACTGTGTCTGCTTCGTTCTGCTCCACTGCAGCACAAACTCCGCAGAAAAAAGGACCCTTTATAGTCAGTGAGAGCATTTACATTACAACCGCAGGGCGGCGGCGAGTGTGCGGCAAAATTAGACTCTATTCTATTATTGCCGGACAAAGATCACACTGTCAGGAAAATGAATGAGCAAAGCTATTTTTTTCAAATTAATTCCCCAAAAACATTTTATAGCAGCACTGAGCCGCACGCAGTGTAAATTTGCGGTAAGCATCAATTATTAAATGGCAGTGGGGAAAAAAATCTCCTGCTGTGCCTTTTCGATGACAGCGCTTATGTTCCTCTCCCATTTTAAGTTGCTGTGTTTGGCAGTCCCCTGAAACTTGGCTGTTTATTTTAACCAAACTCTTTGTAGAGAGACTTAAAAAAAGAGGGCAGGAGAACACAACCTTGTGGTATTCCAGTATTGATGGTTTGAATGTCTGTGTGTTTTCCAAGCTGCACTTGCTGATTTTTGCTGCTCAAGGGGTCAGTGACCAGGTACAGCAGTGTTTACGGAACAATTACAATAATTATCACTAATTATTATAGATGAATTGGTATAGATGAACTCGCATATCATCAAAACTAGTGACATCTGAACTTTATGATGCAAACTAAAGCAGTTATATAATAATTTACATTAAGTGCTTTTAAAATGTACAACAAAATATTTTCTTTGTCTCTGCTTCATGAGATTACCAAGTATTTAACTCCACTCTGATCAAC